AACCACCCTCCCAGGCTGCGTACTTCCCTGAATATAGATACATACATTAAAAAAGAAAATGTTGATACAAATACATGTAGAGTGAAACAGAAACATAAGCTCATCGCGTTGTGCGTGAAACTCGAGTAACTGTCAACTGTTATAGCTCGAATATACTAAGTAGAACGACTAAATATTCGGGAAATATTTCACTGCCGGACACGGAGTATTTACGATTTCGTGTCCGGAAGCTCGTAGAAAACACTAAAATTCAAGGCAGTTTCAAAACTGGTAATCGTGTTCTTTAGCTATGTAAACAACAATAACACCGCCTAGGATGGTATAGCTCGAATATATTGAGTGCAGTGACTTAATATTCGGGAAAATATTCGACTGCCGGACACAGAGTATTTTTAATTTTCTGTCCGGAAACTCGCGGCGAACTTCAAAGTTTTGAATACCGGCATACCGGTTGCCGAGCTCACAAAAACTCACACTTCGGTGGAAATAGCGGAGTTTTCAGCCATATAAAGAAGGATTTGTTATTATTAACTGAAAATTAAAAACGAAATTGACTGCCGGACACGGAGTATTTTGAAAACACTGTCCGGCTGCCGGACATAGAGAAACAGCGTTAAAATTTTTTACCTTTTGGGATGTCCAGGGTCATTTTCACACTCCTACATAGAAAAGTGATCATCTCCACCTCGACTATCATAAAAAGTAAAAAGATTTGCGAACAGACAAATCTAAAGGAATTAGCGAAGCTTTTGAACTCAATAATCTCATTCGTCAACAACAAAGATACAGATTACGGGTAGTAAGATACCCTTGAGCGACCTGGTACTGGCTCGGCCAATCCCGGCATTGATTCTGATCCCAGTATTAGCAAAGTCGCGTGTTTATCGGTATGGGTCGGTTTATCTAAGTAGCCGTCATAGAAGACACTTCTAAAGTACTGAAGTTTTCAGCTTCGGAATAACTCGTCGAGATGAGAGTTTCCATTTTGCTTCGGGAACATCAGATAAATTATTACATGCACGTGAAAATTCAATAGGCATATAGGTGGACGACATGTTAACTGCAGCATTTGCAAGGCATGCGAAAATTTTATCAACTGCACTCATCGTCTTCATCAGATTTTCATCTGGTTCTTCAGTTCTTGATCCTTAAAAAGTGAACAACTTGCATTTACGCTCAAAATTTAAAGGCCCGATGGCGATTTGCGACTGAAGACAGAACCAGCACAATTTAAAACTACGGCGCGCTTGAGAAACGATTTTTATAGGTGGTTTGCACGTTACGCCATTGCCGCCATCTACTGCGAGGATCGGCGATGACCAGTTTGACGGACCTACTAGCTTCACGTTTTGAAAGATTCTTGAGCGATGGAGCCGCAAAAAAAAAAAGACCAAGCAGTGAAGCGTGTGTTTGAGGAATTAATTCTCCTCCCTCACTACCCGGCCTATATGCCCACGGGCATGTAGGGTAGCAACAAACTTCCGTTGTCCACGTTAAGAATTGTTTTTCAGATGTTGTCAAAACCTCTGGCACAGCTAACAGTCCCAAAATTTCCCACCAATGGTCTCTCAAATCTATGGTCATACGCGGTATAAATTTTGTCTCAGTTCAAAAGAAAAAAAAGTATCAGTTTTACACACAACGTGCAACACGCTTGATACATGCTGGACGCCCCCCTAAAACAAATGAGCTCTTTACTATCCTAGGGCATTAGAAAATTTAATGAGATACGACACGTACCACTTTCTTTTAGATGCTTCATAAGTATAATAAGGGCGTTTTTGCCTACTCACTATGTCCGCGACGTTTTTCCCTCCGTACGCACGCTCTTAAGAAATAACTTTGAACGTTCTAAGGTGAGTTTAATTCCCAGTGTAAGAATGCACGAGCCCTTATATCAAAGCGGCTAACCGTCATAGACCAAATATTTAATCAAGTCATGAAGTTATCGGTTTTAAGAATAATAGCTCTAGATGAGCAATCCAATTTCTGTTGGTCAGGAAGATGTAATTTCTCTCATTTGGAAAACTAGTGTCCGGAGTATGAGGTGACTGATTTTGGCATTGCAAGGGTTTCGAAGACTTATAGTCGCGAGGCATGTAAAGAATATTATAGCACCCTTCTTGAAGATGATAGAGGCCATCCCAGCTATGACCACTGTTTTGTCTGAACATGACCGCAACTGTGCCTCAAGGTCGTACTCGCGCCAAGGTCGTACTCGTCGCGACTGTGTGTCGAAATAGTTATTTTTTTTATCGTAAAAGGGCAAGAATAATATAATAATAATATAATAAGGAAGCATAGGAAAAAGAAAGAACATATTATGTTCTTTCTTTTTGCTATCCTTCCTTATCATGCATTTCTGCTAAGCTCCAAGCAAAATTTGGCCCTACCATATCTTGCCTTAAATTGTAGGATTGCAAACAGTGTCGCTTGAATAGTCCGTTTAGTGATAACTGACATAATTTATCTTTAAAAGAGGCCCTTTGGTTAAAAATAAAAAAACAAATATATATTTTTGTTTTTATGAATTCAGCGCAATACTGAAAAGCCTTTCAGCTTGAAAATTGATACAAAACGACAAAGAAACGTTTCTCAACTAATTCAAGTTTCAAGTTTATAAGGTCTTCCAAATTAAACAATTACTTACAATAAACACCGCCTGCAAATAGCGAGCTAATCTAGGCGGGCGATGTTAAGGACAAACAAACACGAATTCAGTAGTAATTGAAGGCGTTAAAAAAAGTCGATTTTGAATAAGTTACCCAGCTTCATACAAACGGATTGATGGTGATATCAATCAGTACCGTTTGGATGGTTCGAAATATCTTTCACTGTTTTTGAAGATGGTTAAATAGTAAAACACACTTACCAATAACGACTCATCAGTTGATAATTAAACACCATTTGAGAAAAAGATGACTAAGTTAAGGTTTAGGACTTCAAAATAATAGATTTTGCCAAGCCTCGGCTCACAAGGAAACCAAAATAGGGAGCTTTAGAAACGACTACGGCGACGGCAACGAGAACGGCAGAAAACAATAGGCTTAATGAGCAAAAACAATCGCCCTGCACGTGCGTTTAACATTTTGGTACATTTCTTTGCCGTTCTCGGCAAAACAACAACGTGAAATAACCAAACTTTAGGTTTTCTCGAGAACGTGAGCGCATGACGGTTAATTTTTCTTTCTTTCTCCTTACTTTAACGCCGTTCGTAGTGATA